ACAACGTTCGCAAAGTATAATACGGCGTTATGCAATATTTAACGGCGTGTTATAATTCACCGAACGACCTTTGACAATAATAATTACCTTATAACTTTTCCAATCATAATAAATTCGTAAGTGCTTGTACGTGCATTATGTACACCGCGCGTTACTCGTGTTTAGCAGTAGTAGTAATAGTAGTAGTAGTAGTAGTAGTAGTGGTAGTAGTAGTAGTAGTAGTAGTGGTAGTAGTAGTAGTAGTAGTGGTAGTAGTAGTAGTGGTAGTAGTGGTAGTAGTAGTAGTAGTAGTAGTGGTGGTAGTAGTGGTAGTAGTAGTAGTGGTAGTAGTAGTAGTAGTAGTAGTAGTAGTAGTAGTAGTAGTAGTAGTAGTAGTAGTAGCAGGTACACCTACGCATAAAATAATTTATTTAACAACGCGAACTTAACTTATACTTTATACATATACGTATATATATATATATATATATATTATATATGCATTGACTTTAGTAATTTCCTCGGGAACGTAGCTGTATACGCCCTAGTGCGTTTTACATTTTACTGTTCTCACGATTTTCCAAATGAAATCATCCTAATTAAAAATAACCAATTTCCGGCGGATTTAGTCGTTTATAGTGTCGAACGACCAGTGACGTACCGAACGATTCCCCGCTCCGGACAATTTCCCCCCGGGCCCCTACTATTAGAATAGAACGTTTCAGATTCCTAACGAACCGAGGAGTGTATCGGTTTTACAATGGTGTTTTTTTTGCTTTACGCCGTACAAAATTTCTCCTAGAAATCTTACTCCGGTCAAAACGTCAACGAGAGACTTTTTTTGTTTCAGTCGGTAATTCTCGGTTACGAGATAACGAGGAAAAACTGGTTCTCTAGGGTAAAAATGATTAAAAATTAAAAACAAGATCGTCATTGGCAACCGTTTTTATTTATTTTTTGCCATTATTAATTTTGTATTATTTTAACCTTTTTTAAACAACCATTATTGTCGCATGTTGTTGAAAACCAACCATTATTGACAGAATTTCACTCAGAATCGTTTTTCGTAGGCAATGATAGTTAATCGTTGCGTATAGTTATAAATTTAATTCCTCTCTATATAATACCTTCTCAACTTCTCACCTACAACAGTTGCCTACCTGTAGTGAGAAGTTTGTCCGTTCTTTTTTTTTTTTTTACGTTAATATGTATTTTTTTCACTTTTTTTATTTATTTAAATACTGAATTAACTTTGCAGTTAAATGTCAATACTTGTAAATGCAAACCCATGTGGTTCACAAGAAGTATAACAGTATTGGTGCGGGTATATACTAATATCAGGAAGACTTAGGTTGCAGATTAATCACCAAAACAATTAAAGCAACATTCATTTAATTTTAACAACTTAAAAACTTGAATATTTTATTCGATAATGGTATAAGAATTGTAAAGAAAAACCAATACACAATTTCTATACAATGACAATCTAGTTGCAATGAATTATATTACAAATTTAAAAAAATTACGTCAAATTATATAATTTTTGTTTTGTACAATTTTACTTCTTTTATTCGCTCAACAACGTTTTATTAGGCATTTATATAGTATTGTCCACTGCGGTAGTGACCACTAACCACATTACACTTGGTATATTTGAGGGGACTGATGGCTCTGTTTAAACGTCTTTAGGGGGCCGAGCACCACTCAGTCTCCCCCCAATTTCCACTCACGCACGTAACTTAAATTTTAAGTAGAACTCGTGCAAACGACCGTTAACAAGTCTTTGTTCAAGATATCGATACAGAGAGGAGGGAGAGATTGAAAAAAATAATTATGAAATAAATATTTGTCAATATTATTATGGTAATATCAAAAGTCAAAAATACAAATTATAATTTTTCGATCGCGCATTCAGGAGTCTCACAGAAGTAAACTTGCTTTTAATTCGATAAAACCAATAACTAACCAGGTCAATGACCTAGATGCAAAAAAAAACATTGGCAATGGTTAAAAAAAGGGGGGGGGGGTTGAAACCCCATATCACAAAAACTTCTAGTTACGCACGGGTCATTGGTTTTATCCAGGGGGGAGGGATAACTGGGGCACGTGCTCTCCTGACTACAGTTTTTATTTATACATTTTATATGAATTTAATACATAATTTATAGTTAATTTACTGAAAATATAAATAATGTGCCCTCTCCCCCCTTTAAACAATTTCCGGATCCACCGCTAAATATATACTATGTTACGATTTTAATTCGCTTAATATAAGCATTTTTTTTTTTTTTTTTAAACACTTTCGTGGCACTTTTACACTTTTTTTAAACTGCTCTTTCGTAATTAACAATAATAATTTCATAATTAATAGCGAAGTTTTTTTTTCCTTAAGAATTTCTACCTCTTTTAGTGTAATGTTTGAACGTTTTGCCGAACCGCGCCATCTATATGACAATGACTCGTTGCCGAAACAGTCGTGGACAAGTTCGGATTTAGGGTACAACATTAAACAAAAATATAAAAAAACCTGTTTAATTATTTTACTATAAAATGACATATATTGTTGGCAAATTATCATTATCAACTGAACTTTGCTCAGAATTGTTTTTTCGTAAGCAACGGTTGATCACTGCTTACAGGTATACATTGAATTATCTATAACAGTGGCTGCACCCGTCCCCATTATCGTCTTTTTTTTGATTTTGATAGTAAAAACAATTTGTATTTATTCGAAATGTTAATCTAATTATTAGAATATTTTAATACCTTTAAATAAAACAAATTGTGTTTCTATTATTCTTCTGTTGTACATGTTTAACGGGCTAAGTGTGAAATATGGACAATGTAAACAACAGATCCTATATTTCTTGTAGTGTCACAAAACCAGTTACTGGGAAGAGTACAATTGTCAGAATCAATATCAAACATAGTACTCTGTGTGACTACCTCAACAATTTGTTCAGTTGAACTTATTAGGTATGCCACCTTAATAAATAATGACATATAATAAATATGCAAACGCAATATCTTTTTCCGGTTAGTGTTTTTTTAAATAAAGCTTATACGTCTCAGAAATTTTAAGTTAAAAAATATAAATAATGAACATTTGGATTGTCAGATCGTCTGTAATGAGATTGGCATTTTGGAAAACTGTTAATGTGTGCGTTTATTTTAAATATAATTTCAGTTGGTATTTTATTTGGGCGTATCATATATGTGTTTACTACGTGAATCTTGTGGACTTGGCTTATTAGTTTTTACATGGTTTATAGGCCTCTCTACTACTGATTTTCCTATCTCAAACAAAGAACAAAAAGTCACTATACAAACGATTATTTCGCCTGTATTTGAGCGTATTTTATAAGAACATAACACCGTTTTTATAATTTTGAGCGTTCCTTGCACGTCTTGAGTAGGCCTCAATTCTTGTACATTTTGTATGCTAATTGAGCAACATATAAAAGCGTCTTGCTTTTCTTTATCACCTATTGTATTGAAAACATTAATTATTAAAGATTTATCTTCATCGGAAATTTTAGTGCAACATTTATAAATACATTTCCATGGAGGACACGTTTTGGTACTATCTTATTTGTAGAAATACTTCTATATTCTTCACCTGAAGCTTTTTGTTTTTATGTTAAATTTCTTTTCCGAAGACTAGGTTTTGCAACCTAATAATTACGGGACCATCAAGCTGCTGGTTTTTAACTTCCACATCAGAATCCATACACAAAGTACCTCTCAAATCATCGCTGTCAGATAAATTATTAACTCCCCTAGGTAAAAAAAAACAGGAGGTTTACGAAAAAATCGTCCATATTCGACGAGAAATATATATCAATATCATTAAAAACAAACTCGTTTAAAGCATCATCATTCATGGTGGTATATAATTGAAACAATATAACAAATGTATTATTGTACAATATAATATCATACAATAGGTAAAAACAATAGATATTAATATAAATCGATAACAACAAAGTTAGTAACGAAAAATAAACTAACAGAATATGTTAAATATTATAACTGATAAGTGATAACCGATAAAATAATATTATGTTATCATTCAACGTGCCATATACAGTGCTGCCCATGTCGCGGTGCAATAAACAACTAATCTCCGGAGATGGCCGGTAAATTGCACCGTACACTGTACACCAGACATCTGCATTTGTATGATATTAGTTTATCTAATAAACGGACAGTCCTGGTTAATGCAACAAAAGTAGAACAAATTTTCTTTATCAGAATATGCAAAAACATGCATTTCGAAAAAATGTGGAGATAGCCGGTTCTTGAACTGAATCCTTCATTTTCTGTATTTATTTATTTTTTTTTCGAGGGCCTCGTTGAAATATTCGGCCTTAGGGTATCTTGATGTCTCGATCCGTACTTAATTGCAGCGAAACACTTCGAATTGTATGAGGGGGTCAAAGCCATATAAAGTAACGTAGGATAAGTTTTCGTTAAAATAATTGATTAAAGCGACCTACGCATTTCTTAAAAGTACGATATTGTTCAATAGGTTAGGGTAGGTTATGCAAAGTGAATGAAGTCATATAACTAACAATCGCTACGGCTAGATGGTAGCACAATATTTGTATGAAACGAACCGGTTGTTTTGTGAACTTCAAAAGTGACTTTAAACATTAAAAATTAACTTTCAAATTATAATGTTGCTTACACCATTATGGCTCATAACCCCCCTCATATTATGAAACACATTCGATTCGGATCGGTTATTTTTCCGGCGGCAAAACAAACGACGTGGCGGCGCGACGGGCGCAGCGAACGCAGCCATATGGGGGGGGGGGCTAAGGGGGCAATAATCCCCCTTTCAGATGTCCTCTAGCCCCTTGACATTTCTTATGAGTACACGATAAAATGTGTTCTAGTTACCCCCCCATTTTCTTTTTCAAAAACGTATGGAAAAAGTGCAATTTAGCCCCCTCGTCTCCTCCCCCTCGTCTCCTCCCCCTCGTCTCCTCCCTCTCGTCACCACCCCAGCGTCCTATGGCTGCGGCACTGGCGAACGACACCCACGTGGTCGCAATCGGGAACGGGTCACATGCCGCCGCTGCTCAAAGGTCACGTGTTGTCGCTTATGTTTTTTTTTTCCTCTCACGAACCGTTTAGTACGAAACAAACGCTTTACGTCGACACGGTGGCGGGTGATGGAAAAAGCGATTCAATAACAACGCCGTCGATAATACTGTTATGTGGCTTTTTATTATTTGTTTTTTTTTTTTTTTTTTTTTTGAACTTTCGATAGCGATGGTTTTTTTTTCGCCTCCCATAATCGCACGTGATCATATATATTTACGATTAAACGGTCGTATTTTTTTATTGTTTATTTTATTTTTTTTCCCGCCAAGCGTCAATATCATAATAGTATTTGTGTACGCTTTTCCGCTTTCCCCCTTCCATCCGCCACCCCGCACCGGCCGTAATCCCCGCGGCGGATCCCTCGCGCCGATAAAATATATAAACCGTAATTGCGTGCGGTTTTGATTTGTTTTTTTTTTTTTTTTATTGAACTTTCGATAGCGATGGTTTTTTTTTTGCCTCCCATAATCGCACGTGATCATATATATTTACGATTAAACGGCACAAAGGCGTGCGAAAGGCGCGCGGGAAAAAAAAACAACGAAAAACACCTGGCTGGCGGGAGGAGAGGAAACCCGTCGTTTAGCTTCGGAGCCGATTGCGTCACGGAGATCGCGCGCGCGCGGCGGCGGCGGCGGCAGCGGCTGTTTCCCGCGAATTTTATCCGGACGGCGGTGACGACGGGGTTCGCGCGGGACGTTTACGTATAATAGGAAAAAAAAAAAACAACAACACACCCAATATATACGCGAAACAAAACGGCGGGATTTAAATGGTCCGTCGCGGTGAAAAAAAAAAGCCCGTGCCGGGTGAACAGAAAAAAAAAAAAAAACATCGCGAACGTTTGTCATATTATCACGGCGGCGGCCGTACGGCAGAGGGGGTAGTGTACGATACGCGCGCGTAACACGGTAAACGCGCACGGCCTTTAGCGGCGGCGGCGGCGGCGGTGAGCGGGCGGCGGTGTGACCGCGTGATACCTATACTACGGTCGCGTCCGCCCGCACAGTCCCGGCGGCGGCGGCGGGGATGCCACGGTATGCGGACCGGGCGAGAGTTCGCGGCCACGCGCTCGCGCCCCGGACGTGCACGTGCACCCGGTGTCGCGGCGACGGTCGTGACGATGTGTGTCGCGCGATCCGCCGTACTCGGCCGTCCGGTATACGCGGCGCGCGACGGCCGGCGTTCCGTGCGCCTGGCGGCGAACGCGCGCGCGCGCGCCCACAAATGGGGTGTGCCTATTGTAAGGGCGATGCGCCGGCGGAGGACGGGAGACGGCGGGTAGCTCGACGGTACCCAGCCCCTGAAACCGGAGTTTTGCCATTTGGATTTTCCCAAAAGCTCCTCCGCCGCCGCCGCCCTCGCCACCGCCGCGGGACGACCGGGGGGGTGGGGCGTTCTGGCGTAGCGCGCCGAAAGCGCGGTTCGTACGGCGGCGGCGTGACGCTCGACCGACCGTCGGCGGCGTTTTTCCCTCTATTTTCGCGTCGCCCCCGGCGCGCCCGCCGCGAGGGTGGCGAGCGACGCGTACGCGCGAGGGGGAGGAAATGAAACGGGCGCCGACCCGCGCGCCGGCTCCGACGACGGCCCGCTCACGCCGGTCTATATATCGATCGGCGTCCGCCGTGCTGCCACTGACGACGGCCGCGTCAGCCACACCGCCGTACCGTCGCGGCCGTCGATCCGCTGCCGCATCGGTCCGGGTCGTAGTGCGGTAGGACCAAGGTCGCCGTCACCGCCGCCGCGAGATAAGGGCCGCCGGGGAATCGCTGAGGCCGCCCGCTACCCCGCGGCACACCCGTCCGTCGCCGTCGCTTCCGTATCGACGAGCGTAACGTTATAGTACGGCACGTTTTACTACGTTTACTATCACGGGGCCGGTAGTACGCATCAACTCGATAATTCGTATTCATTTAAACCCGCGCGGAATAACCGCACATTAATACGCGTTTTACTTGAATGCGGCGTAAGAAGTTTAATCGATCAGTCGCGTCCAATTAGCTGCAGCTGCTCGACCTACCCGTTATCGTAATGTTCCGTAACGCGAGCGCGCGTACAACGATAAGCGGATTAAAATTATTTTTGGCGGGAATCGAATATCGAATCGTGTGCACGCGCGACTATGATGTCGCACGAGATTATTCGCCGTCACAAACGTTTAATCGGCACATTAATTATTACGTACGGTTTTAATGCCCGCTATGATATCTGAGATGTACCCGCGCACAATAGTACGCATTGCCAAAGGTCATTTACCTTTGTCCCCGGTATCACGTTGGATTAGTGCGTATTAGCGACTATACACGAACTGGGTAATGGGTGTTCCGCAGTACGTTCGTCCCGTTACCTATATTACATTAATTGTCGCATTAATCATAGTGCGTTTTGTTATCTATCTCGCCGAGCAAAGGACACGAGTTAACCGCGATTTGTTAATGCGGTACCGTACGCGCGGTGGCGGTCACCACGCGCAACCCCCGTAATTATTGTCGTAGTACTCTTTTTTCCTCCTCTTCATTCTCGTCGTCTTCCTCTTCCTCTTCTCCTCCTACTCACTCGTACACCGACCGTTCGACCGTCCTAAACGCATTCCACGCGACCCGAACTCCCGCGTCACATCCCCGCACACTGCACCGCGCGCGGTCGTCCCCGTACCGCGCCTTTCTTTTCGGTCGTCTGCTTTCCCGCTTTTTAACGTTACGTCACGATTCGGTTATCGTACGCGCACGATAATCGACCGATATCAATTTGTCCCACGGTCGCTGTAATTTCCCGCGCGCGGGAAGCCAACGTTTCGCGTACGGGCGCCCGGCGTCCCGGCCCCACGGCTAAACGGGGTGGGAGGGTTGTCCGATACGCGCGTGCCCGCCCGCCGTCGCCTCCTTCGCGATCCTGCAGCAACCTATTCTCCGACCCCGACCGCCGCGAGCGCCTCTGCCGCCGCCCGCGTACCGCGAAAGCACGCCGTCGACCCGCGGCCGAACGCGGTGAACCGCAGGCATGAACGCTTTGCGGGCGCGTACGCGACCTACGCGGGGAAATACCGCGAGTCCGCCGGAACGCCGCCGGTTTCGCCCGTTAAACGGAGGTCACGGGGGCGTGGCGGCGTCCGTCGGCTGTACACGTAAAATACGCCTACCGCGGGTATTATATTTGGCGGGTGACGCGCGGGGCGGAAGGGGGACGGGGGAGGGGGATACGTTTCCCGCGGACGCGCCGGTGCCTCCCCGCGGCGCGTCCGTAATAACATTAGGGTTGGGCGATACGCCGAAAATTTCCGTCCCGTCACTCGATACTCGTTTTAATGCTATAAATACGCGCGCGGTATTTCCTAACGGTATTCCCGATATACGCCGCGATAAATGGCCACTCGCGATACTCGGGCCCTCCCTTACCCCGCCCCCCCTCCCCCTGGAAAAAACGTCGACGAGAAAATGTAAATACTACGTATAATTATGTTACGCTAATATTGAGGCAGGTAAAAACGCGCGTCCCGTTTATGTTGTTATGCGTATGTTATATGGGTTAGGTTGGGCTAGGTCAGCGGTGACCAACTTTTTTCACCGCAGAAAGCCATAAAAAAAAACACAACTGTTATTGTTCTTGCGGCGAGCCGAGAATTTGAACTTTTACTTTTAGGTTTATAGGGAATATCATATTTTATTGTAGGCACGTCCTAATACGTATAGATACATGGTCGATCCGAGTTTTATTTGGGTTTACACCCTACAACCGCGCACCCTGTTTTAGCCTATGGCTAGTAAGGAGGCGCGGAGGTTCAGGATGTTCCAGAGCGGCCATCCGGTCCGGCGTTCTCCCGTGTCGTTCTAAGGACCACCAGCACCGCCACCAACTCCGAAACGACGAAGCCCCGCGTACCAATGGGTTAGGGCCAAGCGCTGCCCGTCCCCCCGCCGTTGGTGCGGCCGCGGCCTACCTCACTGCTTCCCGTATTTGGTTACGGGTAACCATCGGTGAGGTGTTAGCCCGCCGATGGTAGGCACCGGGGAGATACCCCGGTTCACAGCCGAAGCTGCTTACGAGGCCGTTCGACCTAGAGCTTTCCTCGAGTCAGCTTTTGACCCGTAACCACACAGTCACTCCGGTGACAGCCACCGCGAAACCATTCCGCCGCCGGCCGGATACCAACCGAGGCCGGACACCAGCCGACGTGACGGGCCACCACCCCAATTTCTCGAGGCGGTGTGGGCTCCCGCCATCCCGTGGTACCAGCGATGTGCATCACTGGTGAGATGCTCGACCGGGAGCATCGTCGAGCTCCGCTATCAGTCTACCCGGATTGGGGAACGTTCCCGAGGTCTGGGTGGGCTCTTCGAGCTCTGGGTGGGCTCTTACGTATAGGTACAGTAATAGATTTAATTATTTAATACGCACCGATTGCTGTAACTGGGGATAAAATTTAAATCTTATTTTATCGCGAGTGTTAATTTTTGAAATTTGAAGTTATTTTTATTTTTCAATTTTTTATTTAACACTTTCGTGGGCCGATTGCGCCCTGGATTTGACTCAGGAGTATATGGTCACTACTTGGTCAGACTAATCGGTTAGAGCCCGTGTCGAAATGATCCCGTGCTGCAACTTCCGCCTGTTAAACCCGATAAACGTTATGATTAGTATATTAGTGTACACGTATATTGTAATACTATCGACTGTCCGTATAGAATAGGATGGAATAGGATTAGAAATCCGCGATACGAATCACGGTAATGGACACGAGAGTTACCATGTGGCATAGCCGAGAAGTAGTGGGACCGAGGGGCTTAGGCACAACTGAGGTATATATTCCGGGGGGGGGAGGACTACAGCCTCAAATAAATTTATTTGCTTAAATTTGAAAATATAATATTTTATTACATTAAAATTGTTGTCAGAAAAACAATTACAAATAATTATTATAAAATATTAATATATCCAACTATATTCGTCGTGACTGGAGGGGGTGGAGCTGGAGGCTATTTGGAAAGCTAGAGGGACTTAGCTATCCAATCCCCCCCCTCTAGTTGAGTCTGTGCCAAGGGGGCTATTGTCGCTCGCGGTCCGTACTCATGTATATTACTGTAGTTCAGTATTTTACGGCTCAAATATTGGC